CTAATACGTCACCTTTAACTACCAACTCCAACATCAGTCTATGTGTTGTGATTCTGTAAAACTCATGAATGGTGTTTTCTTCACCATCCTCTAAAGGTCATGATGTTGCACACCTTTTTTCTTTTCCATCAACCTCCCATTAACATTAGTCTGAATCTTCTTCAGCTGTGACCTTTTCTCCCTACAAGTGTCAGAATCCGTCTACTGAAGCTGTCCTGTTAGTCTGCCTCATAATGTTTCTGCAAAATTCAGATTTTCGAAGAAACTGAATGGTGGGTTTCAATGAGATAAAAGCCATAATCATCAGAATGAAAATAAAATATTCAGTTGAAACCAGAAGGTTACATACACCAAATAAAAGACAACTTTTTTTTCTCACCATGTGAAGTTAAATCAAACCAAACTTCTCTGGTTTTAAATCTCCAAGATTATTTCTATTTGCTAATTGCCACAACAATGAGAGAGAGAATATGTCTGAGGTTTATTTATTCAAATTCAGGAGCTGACGTAAATTTCCTTTGCACTGCATGACTTGAGTCAAACATTTTGGGTTTCCTTCCACAATTGTTTTACTGTGGCTTGCTGGAGTTCTGGTCCATTCCTCCTGACAGAACTGGTAGAACTGAGTCAAGTTGTAGGTTGACTCTAAAATATACGTTTCCCTCATCGATTTGAATTGATGAACTAAATTAATTCTTTGACATTTACAGGATTAATGTGCCTTGTGCTTATGTTTATAAACTGTGTTCAAAGTTTGATGGAATTTTCATAAACATTATTAGGACATAGTAAATAATTAGGTTGTATTTACATATTCTGAAACGTAGTTGATTTTCTGTGTATAAAATCCTAATTAATGTTCTGGTTTTAAGGCTGAATTAGGCCCCACATCCAATCACGAGGTCCGAATCCCATCATCAGCTCTTCAGAGAATCAGAAGAACACATTCGGAGGAAAACATCTTGGTGGTTGCCTCGGTGATCAACAGCACATTGTTTCAGGTTCGATCCTCTGAACAAGCAAGTTCACTTTTAGCTGGACTTCCAGCTTAAGCTAGCATGTCATTGTGAATGCACAAAGTGGTTCTAGTACACAACGAAGCCTATAGAGACGGATTGTCTATAAAGAAAGTAGAAACACTGTTAATTTTTTTAGAAGATTTTAAAGAGAGGTCAATTCTGTCTCTTCATTGCAGCAAGCAACTCCTCAGAGCAGAGGACGGAGGATAATTCCCCAGCCGACTGTCAGCGTAGAAGGAACTGTTATAGGAGGGCTAGTCCTGTTTGTGAAGGCTGGAAAGCAGTCAGTCAGCGATCTTATTGAGCCGGTCCAGTTAATCTTCAAACACAATAATGAAATGGTGACTAAATAAATACAATAATTACAATAATAAACACTTTAAAAACAAGACTTTTCCTTCATTTTGATTCCTTTCTATGTTTCAGGAGAACAATGGAACATGTGTGTTTTGGAAGGAGGATGAAACAGGTGCAAAATGGATGCAAACAACTTTTCTACTCTCAAATGAAAGCATCAAGTCAGGATTTACATGTTTGTTTTTCTGCTTTCATTAG